CAGGAAGAAAGTTTTAGCGCCAGTGTCAGTTTCGTGCCTGCGGTGTCCTGGATCCTTTCAGGACCTTGGAGGGGCAAGGGGTGCACTTTCCTGGACCCGCCACGCACGGGCGGGAAGAGAACCTAGGTGAGATTTGACTGCGCGGGCCTGGGGTGGAAGCAAGCCTCTCCTCCGGGTGCAATTCCCCAACCCGAAACCAGAGCCCGGGTCATTAGCTGGAAACCGAAGTGGCCTGGGGGATCGCATTTCAAAAGCTCAAATAGACTGGCGGACTGCGATCTTTGGACTTGCGGGTGGGGGGAGGCAGAAAGCCCGACGACTCGGACAGTACCTGTCCAGGTTCCGATGGGTTGCGTTACCCCCAACACACCTCACTTTTGCCCTCCATTCTAGCGACTGCGCCAAAGCTGCGAGACCCAGGCCGCCAAGGCCGCCAGACTTCATCCCAGCTGCGGGGCAGAAAGCGCCTTGCGTTTGGGGCACAAGAGCCCTTCCCTACCCAAGCCACTTTTGTCTTCACCTCTGCCAGACCCAGGCCCTGGTTCTCTAGGCGCATGGGGCCTGCAGATGCCCAGGCCGAGGGAACTTGGGCCACGCTGCCCCTAACCAAGCACTGCTTTTCCTTCGCGGTGCCCTTGGCACCCCTTCTTCGGCTTGTCCGTAGATTTCATCCTTCTGCGAGCTGAGCCCTCAGCTTCAGCTGGGGCCAAAGAGTTAGAAGTAAGAGAGCAGGGGAGAAAAACTAAGTCTGCTTAGCTTCCTGGAATCTAGGCAGCGTGGAAGCAGGAAAGAGCAAGTGATCTTTGCGCCCACAGAGTCCCAACCCGCAGCTCCCGGACTGCGCTCGGGTACCCTTTGCGCCAGGGCAGATAGAGCACAGCAAACGCTACATACTCGGGGGAGGATCTGAGGCCGGAGAGGAAAGCCTGAGACACCCAAAGCCAGGACCCGAGGGAGAGGGAAACCTTGGAGTGGTCGCCCTGCCGGCCCTAGCGCGCGCCGGCGCTGTTGCAATTCCCTCTGTCCCTCGCCGCTTCCCTGCCGGCTCAGAGCCGGAGAACACTGTATCTGCTTCAGTGCCCCGCCCCAGACGCTTTCAAATGGGGGTTTCCATCCCCAACCAATCTCTCTCTCTTGGCCTACCTGGGGACAAAGGCCCCAAACCCGCAGTCTTAGCCCGGGTGGGTGTTCCAGGACACGGAGAAGCCTGGGCCCCGAGTGGAAAGCGGAAATAAAAGCTGTACTTTCACATTGCGCGACAGAAGCACGGAGAAAGTAAAATGTCTCGTATAAATAAACGTGTGAGACACACTCCAAAATCCAGAGCGCACCCATAGATTTCTCTAGCTCCAGGACATACCCACCCCAGGTACCTACACCTCCACCTGAATTAGTCTGGAGCCCCCGCCCCCTCCCCCCGTCGGTTCAAATTCTGGCCCCATAATTTCCCCGGGGGATCTTAAGTAAGTAACTTAACTGTTTTGTACCTCGGTTTCCTCCTTTGTAAAACAGAGGTAAAAATCATACACACCTTAAAGGGTTAATTGTGAAGGCTAACGGAGGTCACTCTAGTGGGGTTCTTAACTGAGTGCCTGGCTCGTGCACGTGGCCTTTACATGCCAGCTATTTTTATTATTGTTGTTACGTGTACTTTGAACGCCGACATCTGCAACATATACTTCTTGATTATACGCATCTTGATTATAAAACAACCAAATGCATCTACATCCGGAACTGTCTTGGGCATGAACTTCTAAATCGAAATTGGAAGCGACGTCTACAGATGGAGCACGCGAAGTACACGCAAACACACACATGTCCTTCTAACACCTGCAGTTCCTGGTCCTGGAACGCAAACACCCGAACAGCTACCCATAGGTAGGAACATATACGGCCACGTACACAACAGCCCAGGTCGCCTCTCAAAGCGTTGTACCTTCAACCCAGACAACCACTCTCTTGGCTGGTTGCCGTGAGGTCAAATTTGGAAACCAGCGAGGCAGAAAGCACGCGGACGTGAAGCATTTCAAGCCTCTTGCAGCGCCCCAAGGCGGCTGCATGTCTGCTGGCTTAAGGGAAAGGTCAGAGCCCGGCTTTTCCTTCTTGGATGGAAAATTTTTAAGGGCCTACACGTGGAGAACTGTCCCCACAAAGAGAGGGTGGGTCCCAGGACAGCGCAGATCAGAGAGAGGTCCTGCCCACACGCACACGCCCGCCTGCTCACACTGGGCTCCTTCGGGGTTGCCCAGACCTCGGGAGGAGGGAGTGCAGGGTCGTGACCCCTACCTCTGCCCGAGCGCGCCCTTCGGCCCCTGCAATTAGCGCCGGGAGGTCAGCAGGAACCGGGACGCCTTTACCCGCGGCTCAAAGCACAGCAAAAGGCGACCCCACCCCCTCCCCTCCGCGGGTCTCAGACGCCAGGGCGCAGCCAGGCTTGGAGCCGACCTTCCCGACAGACAGGGGCCGGAGGCCTCCGGCCGGCACCCGCATTTGTCACCTTAAATCTACAAATCACGAAGTCGCTGGGCCCTGCAGGCTGCAGTAGCTGACCGCCCCCCCCCCCCCGGGGGACCGTATGGATTGCTGCTCCCACGAGCCGTGGCCTTTGTCCCTGTAGACTCAAGAAGGCAAAGGGAAGTTGTACCCGGGATAGAATGTAAGGTGTGCATATTGGGAAGAGGAGTATCCTTTCTCTACCCATCACGAAATCAGGCTATTCCTTGCCGGGAGGGGTCTAGAACAGGGGTCTACAGGAGAGTTCCACACGGAGCAGTAAGGTTCCTTGCGAGAGAATTATGAGCGAGGGTCCCCTCAGCGAATTTTCGAACGTTCTTTGGAAACCCAGAGGAGAGAAGGACTGTTTTTCTCATCTGAGGCCCAAACGGGAGGGAAAGTGATATCCCGGAAAGAGAGGACGGCAGCTTCTTCCGATGCTGAGGATGGGGGTGGAGGGGGAGGCGAGGGGAGCGGGGACTGGGGGCAGGGGCGGCAGCAGAAGGGGCAAAGGCGAAGCGCCCAAGCTCCGGAACCGAGGAGGCGCTGGGGTGCCGTGCGAGCGGCGGCGCCCAGGGCGCATTCGTGGGCCGGACAGATAGGTGGCACTCGAAGCCCGGGAAAAGGGCGAAGGCGGCGGCCCCGAGTGGCCTCCCCGGCGGCCGCCGCCACCATAAAGCCCGCGGCGAGATTGCGACCGGCGCCAGGTGAGTAATAGCAACGAAATCCACAGAGATTGCGAGCCTTTCACCCCCCGTCCGTCAGCGCCACAAGAGTTACTCATTAACATCACTATATACAAATAAGATATACGGGAGATTAAAAAAAAAAAAAAGGAAAGCCAGTAGGAGAGGCTGGACACGCGCCTGAGCACTGTCCCCGAATCCAGGGGGTGGGGTGGGGTGGGGTGGGTAGGAGGTAGGCACATCTGAACCGAGAAAGAGAAGTATTTCTTGCTTCCTTGGGGCTGAGTTATTTTCTCCCCCGGCGCAGCAACCAGCCAACTGCCACCTTCTCAGGGGCGCAGGCGACTGCGCGTTATCTTTGGGCCAAAATCGGCCCCATTCGGCAGCAGTGGCTGCGCGTAAAGCCAGCGTCCTAGATATCTCCCAGCCCTCCAGAGGAGCTACCTCCCCAAGGTCCCCGTGCCCTCAGCTCAGGCCCTCCGACTTCACCCCGCTCCGGGTTGTCTTCCCTCCCACCCCTGGAGACAGCGCAGGGGAGGCTGTAGGGGTCCCCACGTGCCGGGCCCCAGATGGGAAGGGCTTTGCCTCCCTCTCCAAAAGGTCTCGACCTGGATCCCCTTCCAAGTACAGGATGAGGGAGGGGAGGAGGCGTCCTCCTAGCCGGCCATTCAACAGGCCCGAAGGTGACAGGGACGTGGGGCCTGGCTGGCTGGCTCCAGGGGGGTAGGGGGTGGGGGTGGGGAGGGAGGCAGCCGCCAGGCAGGCTCCGGCTTGGTCTTCACGTCATGGCCCCCAGGGCAAGAAAAGACCTAAGGACTAACCCTAGAGAACCTTCCCAGGCCGCCCCCCTCCCCCAGACATACACACACCTCGGAGGCTAGCCAGGGGGTGCGGAGACCAAATGACTGACACCGCCTCGCCATTTTTTATTGAATGTTTCAGAGATAAATTGAACTTCAAAAGGCAACTCCCCAAACTGCCTGGGGCCTGGCTGGAGGAGAGAACGAAGGGAAGATGTCAACCTCCTGGGTGACTTTTCCCTCGGAGGGGGTTAAATATGCTCCCTGGAATTACCTTTCCCTTGCAAGGAACACTTTCCTCCTCCCTCGCGTGACACAGCTAGGTCTGCGCCGAGCTGGCCGCGCTTCGCACGCACCACTCGGGATGGATGGGGCCTCGCAGGGGCGCCTTGGGCCAGCCTGGTTCAATTTGAGACACCAGGGACTGCCGGGTGTCTGTGTGCGGCGGGGGGAGGCGTTCAGTCCTGCCTGCGGCAACCTGGAGGGCTGCTGCCCCGCCAAGCCCAGTCTGGCCGAGAGGGGATTCTGCTAGCCTTTTCCCGCGCCGAATACACTGGTGCAAGGAGGTATTTTTCGACTTGGATTCCCCAGATCGCTGTCAGAAGGGAGAGCAGAGCTTAAAACGAAAAACATTCGTTGAGCTCGAACTTATTTTTGGTCGGATCCATGTGGGAAAAGCTGACTTAGGGTACAAGGCTGTCTTTTTCCATTAAAACTGAAATATCCGAAATTGCTATTCTTTCCGAATTCTAATCAGGCCCTTTCCTTCTTCCGTTTTGCTCCCTAATTTAAAGGAAAAGTAATTTCGGACTGAAGCGGGCTCCCTTCGCTGGAGTAAGGGACTTTTGTTTTTAGCTTTGTAACTTGAGTGACTTCTTATTTTGGTACGCTGGGGGCGGTCTTAATTATTTAAAGGCGAATGGAAGGGGGTAGGGGAAGCAAGAAGAGACCAAATCCTTCCCTAACTCTCCCCCTTCAGAAGGAAAAGGTTACTAAAGAAAGCATTTAACGCAAGGCCCAAAGACGTTTCAATAAAAATTTATTGAAATTTCAGTGATGTTTTAAAGAGAGGGGGGAAAATAATACAGAAAACCAAAGAACCCATCAACAACTACAACACAAAATATACCTTCACGAACTTTTGTCTTTAAACCATCTCTCAGCACCTGACTTTTGAACCGTGTATCTCTGTAGGCACCAATTCAAAACACCGTCAATATCGACAACAGTAGTAAATTAATTCCACTTTGTTTTGAGGAAAATCAGAGATGAGCAAATGTGAATACAAAAGAAAACTTAGAAAGTTAAACCATGGTCTCTACACTCCTTCCTCCCCACAGCAATCTGAGTTATGTTTTAAGAGATTTAAAGTAGAACTGGAAAGTGGCACCCCCTCCCCAATTTTGGCTAAAATAGGAAATAACACTCTCCCCAACTTTGGGACATTAAAAAAGAAAAAAAAAATATTTTGCAAACAGCTCTTTTGCAAGTGTGTTGGTGTTGGTGCAGAAAGTGTGTTTTCTAGTGTGAAACAGCCAATTCTGTGACCTGGAAATGAAACCGACTAAAGGAAAACAAGAACACAAAACCCAACAGTTGCCATCCTATTTACATAGAGCTATATACAATGTCAATAAATTAAAGTTTAATTTTCCAAGCATTCATATTCCACCTATTTACAAGTTATCAAATAATTACATAAATACTTTGTCTAATAGTCGCGCTTCTTTATTATTTTTTTAAAACCTTGTTATTGCATATACAGGAAAGAGAACTGCTCAAGAGGGACAACATGAATCCTGCTACACAGCTTAGATAAAATAAATTCATTTTTGTGTGTGTTTTCCACCCTTCTTCCCTCTAAATCCTCCCTCCCCCTTGGGGTCTCCGATTTTTGAGGACACCGGATGGGGAGAAGGGCGTGGGGTTATGCTGTTTTCTCTCTAAAAGCAAGCATTCAAAATAAAACCCACAAATACATCACTGTGGAACATGCAAGAAGAGACCTATAGCGGCTCTTAAAACATCACAAGAATATTAAAAAGACACAGATTTCCTTAATACAGACTAAACAAGGATGGCAGGGACTTCCCCACCCAAACAATGCTGCTCAGTAATTTATTGAGAACTGATACGCAAGTCACTATAAAATTTTTAATCTCCACAAACAGAATCATGTTAATGTATTCATTTGTCCCGATTTTTTTTAATTTTATTTGTTTTTGTTTCCACTTGACACAGTGAAGGAAAGAAAAAAAAATATATATATATATAAATCCACACTGAGGGAGATAAATGGCTTTGAACACCTTCCCTCCTGGTGGGCTTGGCTACTGCTTTCTTCAGCCACAGCTCCCAGACCAGCCTTGCTGGAAGTTTCTCTGGACACAAATGTTTGAACTTCCACCCCCAACAGCTCAATGCAACAGACGTTTCTGAGCCCCGGAATCGGAGCCAGATCCCGGATATATAAACCACGCCAAGAAGACAGGGCCTGTCTCTAGTACATTCTCTCGAGGGAGTCCGGCCCCTTCCCAGACACGACTGCAAAAGGCAGGGCTAACCCCACGGAGGCCCGTGGTTTATTTTACATCCGACAAAGTGCACTGCAGACTCGACTGGACTGGAATGAAGAGACTTTCTCCGGGAGGGGTTTACGGGGACGCGCTGCGGGATCTGTCCGGCTTGGCTTCCAAGCCGCTGACCAACCGCTGGATACTCTGCAGTTCGCTGGTGGCCGCCTCCTTCTCCGAGCAGAGTTTGGGCGACAAGGACACGGAGCTGGAGGACAGCGTGGAGGAGCGGCTGTTCAGTTCAGAGCCCGAGTCCACGGCCACCGAGGCCGGGCTGGCCGCCAGGGCAGCGGCTTTGGCGTCCAGGGGCCCCGCGGCCGCCGCCATGGAGGGCAGGGCGGTGGTGAGCAGGCTGCTGCTGTCGGGCACCGGCACCGGGATGGAGTAGGGACTGTAGCGCAGCCGCGGGCGCATGGTGTTCAGATTGAGGAAGGGGTGGCGGTGCACCGAGCTGGAGGCTGCTGCGGAGGAGGCGGCCGCCGCAGCCGCCATGTACGTGTAGGGGTAAGGGAACAGGCTTCCGAAAGGCGACATGGCCAGGCCCTGGGGAAGGAAGAGAAACGCACACGCAGAGTCAGCCGAGCAGGGGCTGCAGAAGATTGGGGAGAAGCCAGCCTCTTCCACCTCCTTCCTCCCACCTCGGGCAAGCCATTAATCCTTTTCCTTTTGGGGAGTGGGGATGACTTAGACTTCTCCAGGTTCAAATCTTAGCTGTGTCACCTTAGACAGAGGGACTTAACACCCTGTGCCTCAGCTTCCTTACACGAAATAAAACAGGGAAGTAGTAAGTAATTCACATAAGTATGGGGAACTCTGTGGATATTAAATGAGCTAATGCCTGCACTATGCTACGCACATGTGGACTGTTAGAGACTCCCGCTAAGAGTTAGTTGTTGCACCTGTTAAATGGGACTACAGATTCAGTCCACCCCACAAAGTTGGCTGAGGGAAAACAAAAAGGCATAAGTTATTAGTCATAATTTTTTTTGTCCTTCTTGTCCCTACCCTAGCCCCACAAATCCTCCCACACCAATCCTAGGGGTGAAAAAAAATCCCAAGGAAGATCTTAAGCAAAAGGAAATGGGGGGGGGGATAAAAGGGCATTTTTTATAAACAGGGACAAAGAAATCCACCAGCCCCATATGCTGGTGTTACAGGTGGGAAGCTAAGGCAGGCCCCAGGAGTTCAACAATTCACTGGGCTAGTAACTGGCAGAAACAGAATTTAAGACAAGGGGACCCTGGCCTGGGCCACTTCTCTCTGTACGGTGCCTTGAGGCACCATTGGTGTTTGTTTGCCCAGGCAGCCACTGGCCCACCTATCACCTGCCCACCTATGACCTGTGTCTCCAGGAGAAGCCAGCAGAGGAGCTGGGAAGAATTGAGAACTGTCAGAAGCCAACCTTTTTCTCAGCTCCCTCATTCCCAGAGGAGGAGGGCAATCCTGCCTCTTGGCTCAGGAAAGGGAGACGAATGTGCTTAGACAAAACAAACGGCAACAGCATGCAGAAAACATCACAGAAACTTTTCACTGGGTTCAGAGCGTGTCTAGCTGCCTGAGACTTCTCCCCAGCCACCCTGTGCTGTCTGAACCATACACAGACCACCAGGCCTGCCCCAGCCTCCGCTGGTCCCTCTCCTCTGACATTTCCCACGTGTGCACAAACCATTAACCCTGTGAGGAATAGGCTGGCCGGCTTGGGGTTAGGGTGGGGAGAAGAGCTTTGAATGCAAGGACAAGACTAGAAGACTCAAGACTCAACTCCCCACTCAGGAAGTCACTTCCCCTTCCCAGGCCTTGGTCTCTCTCTGGTCCAATTCCTGGGGGAGGGTTGGCTATGAGACATGTAGGAGACATTTCAGCTCTGAGACTAAAATCAAAAACCCTCAAAGAGGCCCTGGAGTCGGTCTGGCTGGGATAGAGTCTCAGCTCCATGGAGTACCAGCTGTGTGACCTTGGACAAGTTACTCAACATCTCTGAGCCCCTTC